AGGAGGCTCAGCGGTTTAGCACCACCTTCAGTCCAGGGTGTGATTGTGGGGACCCGGAATCGAGTCCCACGTCGGGCTCCCTGCATGGAGCCTGCTTCTCCCTCTGCCTGTGTCTTTGTCTCTCTGTCTCTCTCTCTCTCTGTGTCCCTCATGAATAAATAAATAAAATATTTTTTAAAAGAGTATTTAAAGAAAAAAAGAAGAAGAACTGAATGAACTGCCTTCAGCAAGTCCCTGGACATCTACAGGACAGGCAGACAGTGCTACAAACATTCAACAGACACAGGACTGTCCCTCTCTATAACAAGTGTATTCCACGGTACCCAACATGGGGACATGAAATGTAAGAGCTAAAAGGGAATTTAAAGATCATCTCAGCGACCTCTTCTTACACTGCTGAAGAAGCCCAGAAGCAGGTAACTGGTCCACAGTCGCAAAGCAAGTTATCAGCAGAGAAGGGCACACTTGGGTCAGCTAGCTCACAGTTCAGTGGGCCCTCCAACAAATCATCCCACTCAAGCACTAGAGATCAGTCACTGGGAGGTGCAGATGAAAGGTGGGTGGTCACAACTTGGAAAAAAATTAGATCAGTTACAGCAGCATCTTCCCATCTGAGAGAACCAACCTAGTGTAATTCTAATTACAGTGACTAGCTGCCTCAAACACCCAGGGCACTGATAGAAAACCTGTGGCTCCCAGGTCCCTGGTGAGTTTTAACAACTCCCTGGCTGGGTTCTGTTTTCAGGATTAAGTGAGGCATTTCCTGAAAGGCGGCAGCAGCTGTTCCCCAGTGGCCAGGACTGAGAATTTAAAATGAAGTCCTCTATGCCCTTTGACTCCCAACCCAAAGAAAAAACAAAGCAAACAAGACAGAACAAACAACTGCAACAACACAATTTTAAATCAATTGTTCTAATAGTGAAAAGGCGACTGCAAGATATTAAAGGGTGTGTCCCGCAAAATGCTATTAATTTTCAGTTACTGGGCGTACAGTCTCTAGATCAGAGATTCCAAAGTTTAAAGTGCCTAACAATCAGCGTTGAACTTGTTCAAAATGAAGATTCCCAGGCACCACCACCAAAGATTCTAATATAAACGGTGGGCCCCAGAAATCTAAATTCTTAACAAGAACCCTCACATCCCCTAATGTTATTGATGCCGGAGGGCTAGGGAATAACACTTTTGAAACATTTAAAGTCTTTGTTCAAAAAAACAAAAAATAAATAAATAAAAATAAAGTCTTTGTTCATAGGCTACTAAACTACTCAAAAAGTACAACAAATGTTCACCTCAAAATGGCTAATAATAAAAAAATGGCTAATAATAAAGAAGTACATGAAGATACAAACTTAACATGCCATGAGAATAAATGCAATGAAAGTTACAGAAAGAAAAGCAAAACAGCAAATTTTGCTAATCAAAATACTCAAAACTTCTGATTTTCTAAATTATATACAATCGAAGAGAAAATCCATTGGAAGGGGGGAAATGCAACAAACAGGAGAGAAAGAGTTGCTATCCGTAACATAGAAAGATTTAAATATATGCCCAAAACATACACATGAGCAAAAACAGAAAAAATTCACAGCATACAAATACAAAATAAACCAAAAAACAGCCAACCCAAAATAAAAAAAAAAAAAAACTAACGGATTACAAATTTATTCTACAAGAGTTTTAAAAATAATATCCCATGCTGATGATGATGAAGTGAAACAGGTCATGGCATAAATTGCTAAGGTCAGCCCTACAGCTTTACAGAAAAAGTTGATTCCGTCAACAACCACTTACAGAGCATCTAACAGGCACCCAGTACACTAAACATGCAAAGATTCAGCCCGGTGGGTCTTAGATTTAAATTGCATTCTAATCTCCTTTTAGAAATGTATGCTAAACGCGCACACACACACACACACACACACACACACGCAAAGAAATACAAAGCCGTATCTACATAGCTATTCATCATAGCATTATTTATAACAGTCAAAAAAGATGGAAATAATAAAAGAACAATTAAGGAAATTATTAGGATGGAACACTGTGTTTTCATACACTATTTATTGATAGGAAAATGCTAAAGTTAAATATTGAGTGAAAAAATTAATGAAATTGTGCATATAATTCAATTTGCACTTTTTAAATGTTAACAAAGAAAAGAACTACGTGTTATCTACGGATTGTGGGATTATGGGTACCTGTTTTCTGTACCTTCTAGTAACTCCAAATTCTCTGCAAAGTTACCAACTTCATAATAAGTATTATTTTAAGGAAGATTTATCCCTGAATGAGATGAAGAAAAGGAGAGCACAATTCTTTCTGTACGCTGTGGAGGTACAATCGCCTAAAAAAAATCCAGTCAAAAGCAAGTCCAAAGTACTCCAAGTTGTTTCCACAACAGTGAACAGTCAAGACCAAACTTATAAATGTTTAAACAAACCAAAAAAAAGGGCACATTCAAGCTACTGAATGAAACAGAAATAGACAAGAAATTGATAAAACACAGAAATTTAAATAAAGACCAAAATGAGAGGACCCACTGAAAGGTGGTGGACTCCATTTAACGGAAGTCAACAAGGAAAAAGAAGCCTGCCGAAGGAGGAGATCCTTCCAGCCAGCCACGAAAGGGACTGCCCCTGGCCCGGGAAATCCCACACAGGGTTAAGACAGGCCATTTTCTGAATAAGGCTTTTTAGAAAGAGAACCACCACAGGCTGGGTTCTGCAAGCCTCCCCCAAACTTCACTCTGATGGTGAAAAGAGCGTGCTCAGGATGGGGAGCCAGAGGGTCCTAGTGGCACAGAGAGGACACGTGGGCCAACCTCTGCCCAGGATCAAGCAGCACTGGCCAGGCCGGGTCTCCTCCACCCTCCACGCCGACAGCTCCGCACAGCCTTCCAGCAGTGGGTCAGGGGCCACCTTTAAGATGTTCTTCTCTAAGAACACCTTAGATCTTAGATCCCCTTAGGTGCAAGGATCTGCACCTGCTCTGAGTTTCCAACTGGATCCTTGAGGACAGATGCGGTGTCCTCCACTGGTTCACGTGCTATCCTACGACCCGGCCTGGAAGGAACTGTCCAAACCGGAGGCGCACAATCCGCTAATGAGCGAAAGGACCAAGTCTCCACTTCTGGGATGTCAGCTCTAGTGCCGAAATAGGATGAATTTCATGTGTCCGGGTTGAATATTTGTACTGGGGGTTGATGGGAGCCAGAAACAACTTCTAAAGGCAAGAAACTTCCAGAGGGGCAGGGCAAACAGCTGCACTATACACTTTCAACGTATCGAAAGAATTACCTATTCTCTCTGCAACACCTGCAGAGTGTCCAGTGGGCCACATTCCCACGGGGAAGCTGTGCAGAAGTGAAGTGCACAGTTTGGAATCAAACTAACCTGAACTCCTGAATTCTTAGTCTCCTCATCTGTAAAACGTGGCTAATCATGCCAAACTCCTGACATGACTGGGTCATGTCTATGAAATGCAGCATCTGGCACAGAGGAAGCACTCAGGAGATGGAAACGAATAGTGTGCCGATTCGTGTGCCAGTGTGTGTGCCAGTGTGTCGGGTCCCCTCGCAGGCGAGTCCATTAGCATCAGCTGGGCCCCCAGCTCTGCTGTGGCTCCTTGAGGCCGAGTTCCACCCCGCTGCAGGGAAATCTCAGGGCGGGGGAGGGGGGGGGCCTCAGGCGTGCATAAGCCTACAGGCCACAGGGCTGTAGGGTGTCATGGCAAACCAGGAGTCTGCACCAGCGACCTTGACCAAGCCAATCCTCCGTATGGGGTCTCCTCCCTAGTAAGAGGAGTGGTTCCACTCCATGATCCGTGAAGTCCCTTCCAGTGTCTCTACTGTACCATTCCCTGCGTGGCACTGCTGATCATTCCGACAGGGATGTCCAAGGGACACCTTCAAATGCGTTCCATTTCCTTCCAAAGCCACTTGGCAGTCCTCTGGCCCTGCTCCCGCGAAGGGAGGATTTGGAGGAGCTTCCATGGCTCGGTTTGTGTTCACTGTGCAGCAGCTCGCCACCCAGGGCTGCTCCTTCCACCTTTCCTTCTCTGCCCCCAAAGTGGTCGAGTGTGTGTGTGTGCTGGGGCGGCCACTGGCTTAGAGCGCGTCAGCTCAGAGATGGTTTCCAGACCATCCTGTGTGTGTGTGTGTGTGTGTGTGTGCGCGCGCGCGCGCGCGCTCAGGGTGGACAAATAAACATTTCAGAGAAGCAATATGAATTAAATCATTTCAACAACAAAACCCGCCCACATGCTCCTTCCTAAAGGATGCCTCTTAATTCCATGCTGAGGAGGAGTCAGTAAACTGCCTCTGTTATAAAGCCACCCTTACCCCTTTCATGCCCTGACACTTCAGAATCACAATATTTTCACACTCTATTGTACTGATGCCTTTGCAGAAGTAATAGCACTAGCTGTTTCCCTGGAAGGATGCACGGCCAGGGCGCTTTCCAAGAGATTTTCTTTGAATGTTCTTTGTGTCCTGGCGCCCTGGGGGACACGGCCAGCCTGCCTGCATCTGGGGGACGCGGGGCTACTCGGAGTAATGCACTAGTGTTCTTAAAGCCCCCCCCCCAGGGGACGTACCCCGTCGCCCCTACGATGAAGTACTCCCAAACATTCGACAGACCCCACGGATCCAGCCATGCCCCCAGATAACAACCCCAGCGCCCGCGTTTTGCAGAGAAAATAAAGGCACGTTCGGGGAAGCCCCAGACCCGCCTCGGGCTCCGTGAATGGCAGGAGAGCTTCTGCGGACCTTTAGCAAGACCGGCCGGAATCCGTTCCCTTTCTCGTTCTATTTTCGCCGTCCCTTTTATTTGCTGGGCCCGAGAAGAATGGAAAAGCATCTCCAGAAAGGAGGGCTGGGGAGCGGTGGAGAATAAAGGAGGGCGGGCGGGGAAAGCAGGAATTTTCGAAAATAACAGCGATCTACAAAAAGGGGGGGGGGGAGGAGAGGCAGGGTCGCGGCCGAGGGTCGCGGCGGGGCTTACCTGGGGCGCACGAGGCCGGCCGCGCCAGCAGGAGCAGCAGCAGCAGCAGCAGCCGCCGCCGCAGCCAGAGGCCGGGGAGCAGCAGCCCCGGGCGGCGGCGGGCGCGGCGGGCGGAAGGGCCGCGGCCGCTCGGCCCCGGGAGCAGCGCGACCCCGGCGCGGGGCTTCCCCTCCATGGCCGCGCCTCGGCGTCGGCGCCGCGCCCCCGGCGGTCCCGGCCCGGCCTCGCGGCTCGGCGCTCTCGGGCCCGGCAGGGGCGGCCGCTGCGGCTGCGGCGGGGACGGGGCGCCGCGCACCGGCGCGGAGGGAGGCCGGCGAGGCGGGGGCGGGGGCGGGGGCGGGGCGGGCCGGGCCGGGGCCGGATCCGCGGACGGGGGCCGCCAGCCGCTCGCCGGCCTCGCCGCTCCGCCCCCTCCGGAGCCTCGGGGCGCTGCTCGGCGACGCGCGGGCCCGGGCGCGGGGAGGCGAGCACCCCCTCCCGGCCGGCCGGGCGCCTGCTGCCTGCCGCTGCGCGCGGGGCGGCGGCGGGGCTCCCCCGGCACCCGGCACCCGCCTCCCGGGAGGGGGCGCGCGGGGGCCGGGGGCCGCGGGAGCCGCGGGAGCCGCACCCCCGGGGGCGCCGGGACGGACGCGCCTCCCGCTCCTGGCCCGGCGCGGGGCGGCAGGTGCGAGGGGGCGCCCGCGGCCGCAGGGGGAGCCCGGCCCTCCCTCCGCGAGGCCCGCCGTGCAGCCCAGGGTGGGACGAGCGCGCGGCCGCAGCCGTCCTTGCCCCCCCGCCTGTCCGGGAGGCTCTGGAAGCCCCGGGAGCCCCGCGGCCCCGCAGCCCCGCAGCCCCGCGGCCCCGCGCGCACGTAGGAGGCCTCCGGGAGGCGCCTGCCGAGCCGGCCGCGGAGCTGCTGCCGGGAGGGCGCACGGCCAGGCCCCGCCAGGGAGAGCGGCTCTCCTCGGGGACCGTGCCCGGTGTCCGAGGAGAGGCGTCTGGGGGTGGACGGGGAACCGAGGAAAGCCGACGAGGGACTGGACGTTTGGGGAGCACCTGCTGCGTGCCAGGCGTCGACCTCTGAAGACACCTGCTGACGGAAGGGCCGCGCCGAACGAGCAATTGGCGATTTGGGATCTTTGCCTCCCGTTAGGATGCTCGCACCAGGCCGGGGACTTAAAGGTGTGAGTCGGGGACACTATTGTCTGGGAAACTATAGGGGTTGGTGGAAAGTGTGGATCACCTCCGATGACCAAGGGGCCCCCGGCTGCGCTCCACCTGGGTTCCCCTGCTAGGCCCAGGCGCGCAGCTCCAACCCACCCAGGCACCTCGGCCCCTGGAGACTTGGAGAATCAGTAATAGCCCTTCCTCCGAAGGAGGCTGCAGCACCCTCCCAGAAGGACCCACCTGTTAGCTTCACGGAAGATGGTTGACAATAAAAAGTTAAAGATAGCTCTCGTCGATGTTCTCTTTTGTTGTTGTTATTGTTGTTGTTTAAGGTTTTATTTATTTATTTTTTTAAATATATTTTTTAAATTTTATTTATTTATGATAGGCACACAGTGAGAGAGAGAGAGGCAGAGACATAGGCAGAGGGAGAAGCAGGCTCCATGCACCGAGAGCCCGACGTGGGATTTGATCCCGGGTCTCCAGGATCGCGCCCTGGGCCAAAGGCAGGCGCTAAACCACTGCGCCACCCAGGGATCCCCGGTTTTATTTATTTATTCAGGAGGGACACAGAGAGAGGCAGAGATACAGGCAGAGGGAGAAGCGGGCTCCCCATGGGGAGCCCAATGTGGGACTCGACCCCAGGACCCTGGGATTACATCCTGAGCCAAAGGCAATCCATCAACCACGGAGCCACCCAGGTGCCCCTCTTGTTGATGTTCCTAATTTGTCTTGTGCTTAATCATGCTTCCCCATCATAAGCAGCAGCCGTTCTTAACAACTGATTCCCCACCAGCTTGCGAACTGAGGATCTTGCATACCTTGCCTTCAGCCCATAGCCCATAATCTCCAGGTTGAGTAGCCCTGTGAAAACTATTGAGGCACGTCTGGCCCCGGGGATACCCTGGCCCTAGATCTAGGACGTCTTGTTCGTGCCTTTCTTCACCCTCTGAACTCATTGTATGAACACGTCACTTGCCTCCAAACCACTGCCTTGAGGTGATCCTTAAATTGTCTTATCCTACTGTATTATTTTATCTTTTATGAATTGACCCTCTGCCTCTCCAACCAAATTAATACGAAGTTCGAAGATGGTGTCATCCTGCTTGGGAATTCCCACAGCACTGGTAAAACGCTCATTATACATTTGTTGACTTGAGCCAGAGTATCCACCTGCCCAGGGAAGTGGTTCAACCTTTCAGATTTGGCTCCAGTCTGCGGTAAGCTCGCACCTACACTCGTACCCAGGTCCTAGAGGAAGAAGGCTCCCTCTCAATTCAGAAAAAAATAAAATGTTTGCTGAGCCGTAAAGAAGGGATTGACATCCTTGGGAAATAAAAATTGCAACTTTGAGATATTAGAAATGACTCAAGGTCACCAACTCTCTATAGAAAGACCCCTAGGGTCTCCTAGTTTCCAAGCTCTGAAGGCATAAAACTGAACGTTACCTCTGTTAGGAGTGAATGCATTCTGCTGGAGTGTCTAAGAAGATGTCTCCTGGGGCTCTAACCATCCAGCTATGCGGGTTGTGTGGTATGTAAGTCCAAGACAGAGTGAGTGGTACAAGTAGGGGCATATGAATGCCCCCACATGTGTAGACACGTGCACCCATGCACACTTCTGTCTGAGAAGAGAGATTAAGACAAGGCCTTGGGGCATTCAGACCAAATGATGCAAAAAAAACAAACTGCAGCAAACACTTCTGAGCACCTTCTATGACCTGTTAGTGCTGGGGGGAGGCTGTAAAAGAAGATGGAAATAGTGATTTTGGAGATTACCTCATACAATTTTCCTTGTATAGATAAACAAATCAGAGAGATTAGTTTATTTACCTAGGGCTGAGCTCCAGCTAGAATTCTCCTGTCCTGTTTTCCAGTAAAATACAATCTCTCCCAGGAGGAGGGGGGAATTAGCCTGGGTCCTCCAAAGGTTTGCTGTCTGGTTTGGGGAGGGAGAGAGTTAGGATCAGTGCCACCCTTAGACCTAGGCACAATGGGCCCCAGGTTTCGGGAGCCCCCCAGAGTGGGTCTCCTCCAACTGCACCTCTCCCCGTAGGACAAGGAGTCTGAGAAGCCAAAGGAACACCCCACCAAGAGCCCACATCCCTCCATGGTCTGGTACCCACGACCCCAGAATTCCCTGCCAGCTGGCCCTATGCTCACTTTCAGGGCCTACATGGCCCCTTCCTTCCAAAGCCCACGGGGTGTCTGGTCCCAAGAGGCAGCTGTAGGTAGTTGTTTGCAGGGGAATGATGGAACTCAGACATGAAGGTAGGGTGAGAGGAACATGTGAAGCCCAAGTGAATGAAGCCAAGAACCAGGAGTGGGAAGAGATAGTAGAACAAGCTCCATATTCATATTCATATGACTTGGCTGCCATACTATTGCTCAGAACTTCAAGGAGTCTGGGAATTCTGCTTTTGGTTTCTTGGGTGGGTTTTTTTTTTTTTTAAGATTTTATTTATTCATGAGAGACAGAGAGAGAGTGAGAGAGAGGCAGAGACAAAGGCAGATGGAGAAGCAGGCTCTATGCAAGGAGCTCAACGCAGGACTCAATCCCAGGTCTCCAGGATCACAACCCAGGCCAAAGGTGGCACCAAACCAATTGAGCCACCTGAACTGCCTGTTTTGTTTTGTTTTGTTTTTAAGATTTTATTTATTTACTTGAGGGAGAGAGAGAGGGATAGAGAACAGAGGGAGAGGGAGAAGCAGACTCCCTGCTGAGCAATGGGCCTGATGCAGGGCTCCATCCCAGGACCCCAAAATCACAACCTGAGCCAAAGGCAGCTGCTTAGCCGACTGAGCACCCAGGTGCCCCTCTGCTTTTGAAGCTAGCCTACCAATTTGTTACGAAGGAATGTTCGTCAAGGGTGGGTGGTAATATTTAATAGATTACTTGTGTGGCATATAACTTTCTGATATTTTAACGAATGCTATGTGAGCCTCCCATTGTATTTTTGACCTAGGCCCCTTCATTCTTTTTTTTTTTTTTAAGATTTTATTTGTTTATTCATGAGAGACACACAGAGAGAGGCAGGGACACATAGGCAGAGGGAGAAGCAGGTTCCCCACAAGGAGCCCGATGTGGGACTCGATCCCAGAACATCAGGTTCATGACCTGAGCCAAAGGCAGATGCTCAACCATTGAGCCACCTAGGCATCCCTAGGCCCCTTAATTCTGAGGAGCAGAATAGATATGGGAAGGACGGACTGACAACCTGAAAGGTTGGAGATGGCTGGAAGACAAGGCAATAGGGGCTAGTACGGAGAGTCCTGGACTGGGTATCAGAATTGCTGAGTTCTGAGCTCTGCTCTGTCCCATAAAAGTGTATCATCTTGGAGAAAAGTTTACTCTCAAACCTCAATCTTTCTTATCTGATGACAGGCTTGATTATGCCTACCTTGCCTGATACATCCGTGTATCAGATTTTCACACTGTACACCTTAAACCGGTACAGTGTTCCATGTCAACTCTACCCCCAAAAAGCTGGAAAGAAAAGGGAGTAATAACCATTGAGCTAGAGGTTTGAGTCAACATTTTCTGCTAAAAATGAGAAGACAGTAACAGAGAAGAGAGAAAGTAGGAGCTGGGGTAGAACAAGGACTCAAATATCTGGCTAAAGGGTCTGGACATAATTTTGTAGGCAATGGGGTATCGTTAATAAATTTCATGATATTATTAGAACTAGGCACAAGAAGGATTAGTCTATTAACAATATATAAGATGATTTGGAGAGAGAAAAGGCTGAAAGTGGAGAGACCAATTAGGACAAGATCTTAACTGTGCAAGCCTGAAGTATCAAGATCATAACATTTTTCACCATCAAATAGACAGAACTTCTAAAAAATTGATTATATCCATTTGTGCCATAGCATGGGGAAATAGGCACTCTCAGATTCTACTGGTGGAGGTATAATTTGGTATAGCCATTTGGGAGAAAAATTTGGCCTTATCTATCAAAATTTAAAATAAAAAAAAATTAAAATCAGCTCACCATCTGGTATATAAATTCTATATATAGATATGCTTTTGCTTATCCCTCTTTTCTTTCTACCTTTCTTTCTTTCTTTTCCTTTCTTTCTTTTTCTTTCTTTCTTTCCTCCTTCTATTTTCCTGGTGTTTTGTTTTGTTTTGTTTGTTGTTATTTTTTAGTTAGGCTTACTTCAGACAGGTAAATTCAATCCAGTAACTCAATCAGATAAAATTCACCTTTTTTCAAGTTTATACTTTAATGAGTTTTGGAAAATGTATGACATCCTACAGCCACCACCATGTATAGAACATTTCTATTGTACTCAAAAGTGCCTTTAGCCCAGCTAGCTAGTTCACCCCCTGCCTCTACCCCAATCCCTGATAACCATTGATCTAATTTCTGCTTCTATAGCTTTGCCTTTCCCAGAATTTCATATCAATGGAATGATACAGTATGTAGCCTTTTGGGTCTGGTTTCTTTTACTTACCATGTCTTGAGATTCATCCACCTTGTTACATATATCAGTAATTTGTTCCTTTCTATTGCTAACTGGTATTCCATTTAATGGATGTACCATGGTTCGTTTATCCATTCACCAATTGATGGACATTTTGGTTGTCTTCAGTTTATTCTTTTGGGGGAGTAGTTTTGCTTGGTTATTGGCTATTATGAATTCAGCTATTACCAACGTTTGCTCTCAGGTCTTCATGTGAACATATGTTTTCATTTTTCTTGGGTAAAATATCTAGGAATTGAATTCCTAGGTTATGTAATAATTGTATATGTGACTTAATAAGAAACTGCCTAGTTGTCTTCCAAAGTGAACATCTTACATTCTTATACATTCCAGCAATGTATAAGAGTTCTGGTTGCTCCACATCCTTGTCAACACTTGCTTTTATCATTTTAATTTGAACAATTCTAGTAGGCGTGTAGTGGTATCTCCTTGTGGTCTTAATTTGCATTGTCCTAATGATGAATAACATTGAGTGCCTTTTCACGTGCCTATTTGCCATTGATATTTCTTTTTTGGTGAAGTGTCTCTTCAAATCTTTTACTCATTTTATAATTGGATCTCTTGTCTTCTCCTTATCAAGTTGTATGTATCATTATAAATCCTACATACAAATCCTTTCGCAGATAAGTATTTTGAAAATATTTTCTCCTGGTCCATAACTTTTCTTTTCATTCTCTTAACAGTATCTTTCACAAAGCAGAAGGTTTTTAATTTGATAAAGCCCACTTTTCATTTTTTCCTTCTTTTTTTTTTTTTTTGGCTCATGCTTTTTGTGTCCTACATAAGATATTTTTTTTTAAATATATATATTTTTTAATTTTTTATTTATTTATGATAGTCATCACACAGAGAGAGAGAGAGAGACAGAGACATAGGCAGAGGGAGAAGCAGGCTCCATGCACCGGGAGCCCGACATGGGATTCGATCCCGGGTCTCCAGGATCGCGCCCTGGGCCAAAGGCAAGCGCCAAACCGCTGCGCCACCCAGGGATCCCCCTACATAAGATATTTTTACTTAACCCAAGGTCATAAATATTTTCTTCTATGTTTCCTTCTAGAAATGTAATTTTTAACTCTTATGTTTAGCTCTGTGATCCATCTAAGTCAACTTTTACATGTTTGTGAGATAAGGGTTGCAGTTAATTTTTTTTTTTTTTTTTGGCGTATGTCAGTTACAGCACCATTGGTTGAAAAGACTACCCTTTCTCCATTTAATTGACTTTATACCTTCTCAAAATTAATTGCTATATTTGTGTGGGTCTATTTCTGGACTTCCTATTCTGTTCCATGGAAGATCTATATATTACATCTAGGAGGGAAAAAAAGCAAGACATTGTATTGTATAATCCCATTAATGAGAAAAAATTTGATTATAAATCCACTATTTTAAAAAAGCATATGTGGATCACTGGGCAAAGAAACAGAATTTGGGGAGGGGTAGGGGAATAAATATATGAAAGGGAAGGTTCACTTTTATGAAGAGAAACATTTGCTTTTTACTCTCTATATTAATGCATCTGATTATAATAATATTACACCATTTGCATTTTTAACACAAGTATGTACTACTTTTGTATTTAAAGTTTTTTGGGAAAGATAGGGCTCATGTAAGCGGGGTATGGGGTAGGGACAGAGGGAGAGGGAGAGAGAGAATCTTAAGCCAACTCCACGCTCTGCACAGAGCCCCACGCTGGGCTCCATCTCACGACCTGGAGATCATAACCTGAGCCAAAACCAAAAGTCAGTCACTTAACCAACTGAGCCATGCAGTCCCTCATGTATTTAAATTTTTTAAAGATTTCATTTATTTATTCATGAGAGACAGAAAGAGAGGCAGAGACATAGGCAGAGGAAGAAGCAGGCTCCCTGTGGGGAGCCCAATGCGGGACTTGATCCCGGGACCGTGGGATCACGTCCTGAGCCAAAGGCAGATGCTCAACCACTGAGCCACCCAGGCGTCCCTAAATTTTTTTTTAAGATTTTAATTATTTATTCATGAGAGACACACAGAGAGAGGCAGAGACACAGGCAGAGGGAGAAGCAGGCTCCATGCAGGGAGCCGGACGTGGGACTCAATCCAGGGTCTCCAGGATCATGCCCTGGGCCAAAGGCAGATGCTAAACCACTGAGCCACCCGGGCTGCCCCCTAAATGTTTTTCAATAAAGACTTTGTGGGTTTGAATGGAAATTATAAAACAGATGAGACATATCCTGGATATTATATCAACTGATAAATATGAGGAGAGAAAAGAATAAAGGATAGATGATTCAGAAGCTCTGAGGCCATGACTTCTCAGCCCTTTGGCTAAGATCAATTACAGAGGGTCTGAGGCTATATATGTAAGGATAGATAACAGGAAGTCAGTTGGAGAGTCTGGGTTAGGGGGAAAGATCCTCGAGGGTAGAGTGGTTGGCTGTGGGAGCTTGGCCAGCACCCAGAGAGCAACATTAATACAAGTAGTGGGTAGTGAGGGTGAGCACCAGGCTAGGGAGGTAAGGCAGGTAGGGCTCAAAATGTATATATGGAGGGCAGCCCCGGTGGCACAGTGGTTTAGCGCTACCTGCAGCCCAGGGTGTGATCCTGGAGACCCAGGATCGAGTCTCACATCAGGCTCTCTGCGTGGAGCCTGCTTCTCCCTCTGCCTGTGTCTCTGCCTCTCTCTGTCTCTATGAATAAATAAACAAAATCTTTTTAAAAAATGTATATATGGAGATCATGTGCACAGAGTTGTTAGCTGCAGATGTGAGGGTGAATGACTGAGTCTGGAAAAATGGGAGAGAAGAAAAGAAAAGGGTTGAGGACAGGCCCTTGCTAAAGAATTTCATTATGGAAAAGCTGAAAGGGAGTAGAAAAAGGCAGAGAGACTCTGAGGAAAGCTGAGGAAAATAAGGGTAGTGTGTTGTCACCACCAACACCTTGGATGGAAGCTTCAGAAGGGAACGGTCAGTGTCAGGGTTGATGAGGACTGAGAAAATCTCCTTGGGCTTGATGACATCACTAAAAAGAGACTTTCCATGGAAATGGCAAGTGTGAGGGGAAACAAGGGGAAATGAATGAGCTGAGCTGCTTGGGAAATAATGGCAGTCAGAGGATGGTACACAGCAGGGTGAGACAGATTTTAGGATAGAGAAGACTGAGCATCCCTGGTGACAGAAGAGAAGGTGTCTGAAGACAGTGAGAAAATGAAGTGCAAGGGAGGGATCATCAAGTACATTCTCAGAGCTTAGAGGAGATGGAATCAAGAACAACGTGGATGTCTTTTGAAAAGGCAGAGCCAGCGACCCCATGTCCAGTATCATGAGAACGGCTTGATAGAATCATATTGCAGTAGGAGGGAATCCATCCTTCTGTTACAATAACTGTAAAGATGCAGGGCATGTTTGGTTATAATGTTAAATGGGGAAAAATACTAAATATAAAATATTTTGTGAGTTACTATAAAATAGGAATGACTAGAAAGGAATTGGACAACACTTTAGATTGTTGTAGTAAAATAAGGAATTATGAGCATTTTATCCTTTGATGATGTTGTTAGATTTGTCTTTTCGGTATAAAAAATGTTTGGAATGTCTTCCTCTAAGAGAAGATGGTAACGGGTCAAGATGGAGGTTTAAGGTGCTTTCTCCCTCTTCAACACCATAAGTTAGATGACAGGATTTGGACTTGAAGTGTGAAAATCCAAAAAAGGAAAAGATTGGCAGGAGCTACAGTAGGTAGGGAAGGTTTCACAGACTGCACAGGTCTTAAGTTGGGTCTTGAACAATGGGAATGATGGGTTACATTTGTTAAAAAAAAAAAAAAGAGGGATAAAAGGAGAGATGGTTTGGCAGAGAAAAGAACAGTAGAAAGGCAAGACACAAGCATAGAAATGAATAGAATGTGGACAGGGGCCACTTGCCTATCTGGAAGAAAAGCTATTTAGAAGGGATTTGGGGACACCAGAGCAAATACATAGGATATGGTGAGATTGTAGCAAGCAAATAGTTCAAGTCTGCCATGATCTAAATGAGATAAGGTTTCCCCCACTATTCAAAAGTAGGGCACTGCTATGAAACCTTTCTTTTTGGAAATGGCATAAAGCGGAGAATATATCCCACTCTCAGAAAACTGGAAAGACATACATTAGTACAGTAACAACTATTTTCGTGAAAGTGAAAATCTTCTTTGGATTTCTTTCCATTAGCAAAAGCAGGTACTAATGTAAGTCTTCCGTAAAAGCCAAGTGGCCTAACATGAACTTTCAGGAAGTGTAGGATACCTGTTATTACCTTAATTTACCTACGGGGGACCTCCTGGCTATCAAAGGGAAGGCCAGTGCGGGGAGTGACATTGTTAAGCACTGATGACCACAAGTACAATGTTTATTTATGTATTTATTTACTTATTTATTTATTTATAAGAGAGAAGAATTTGGGGGTGGGGCAAAGAGAGGGAGAGAGAATCTCAAGCAGACTCCCCAGTGAGTGCAGAGCCCAACATGGGGCTTGACACGGGGCTCAATATCACAACCCTGAGATCACAACCTGAGCCGAGATCAAGAGTCAGTCACTTAGCCAACTGAGCGACCCAGGCGTCCCCACAAGTACAATGTTTAAACCCAGGATCCTTGTCCTGGATGGAATGGGCTAGAAATGTCTGTCCTTCTTGCACAATTTCGTGGCAAGTGAGAATGTTCCTAAGGCACAATCCCAGACTTGCCTCACTGTCCATTGCAGTTTGCCTCACCTCCTCTCCCCCAATTCCTGCCCCACCAATATACAAGCTGCCACAGATCAACTGGCTCAGTCCTCTGCCCACACTCTCTGTGGTCACTTCCCACTACAGCCCCAAACCCGGCAGCTCTCCTGAGGCATGCCAAAAATCCACATAAGAATCACAGCAACAGTTGGTGAAAGCTGTTTTTAGAATCATCCTCATTCTCTGGCATTCCACTAACTCCAACTCACATATGACTGTGTTCTAAAACTCATCGACTCTGGCTCCAATTCAGAACGAGAATGATGATAGTAGTCTAGCTCAGTCTCTTCTTCCATCTTGTCATGAGTTCGGATGAATTACAT